GTGCCTCTCCTTTCACTATTGAGAGAATGGACTCCAAGAAATTTCCTTTTGGAGTCTTATGGTGGGAGGAAGAAAAGGCCAGGGCTCTGGTGCTGGCCAGGAGGGGAATTTTGTCTCCTTGAAAGATTTCACACAGTTCTATCAACCTGTCAGAAACCTGCAGGACAGAAAGGAGTTGATAGATGGATGATTTGGGCCCATACCTTGATGAGGCTGGCTTGGTTATGCACACCTGTTGCCCTCTATTTAAACTGAAACCAGAGTCAGGACCCGGAAGATGGCCACTGAACATTTTTTGTATGTTTCTCTTCCCAGTGTGGCCTCACTGAATAAATCTTTCCTTGCTATTCATAATTTACTCGCCCATTTAAATGGCTCAGGTGGCTGAGCCTGGCTCATTAGGACTGCTAAGGCCCAGGCTCTGAACCTAACAACTCCTTTAACACTATGAAATACTATTTTCATGTGGCAAATGAGAAACTAAGGCAGCATTGTTAAATATCTTGCTTTAAAGTCCTTGGCCAGTTAAATGCTGGAGATAAAACTAGAAGCCAGATAGGGAGACTCAGGAAACTCTGGGCTCGATTAGAAAGAAATACACCCCCCCCACACACACACACCAGCACCACCACCAAAATCATATATGGAAGGAGATTCTGGCAATATTCCTGAACATGACAGAGAAAACTCATAAGCTTTCAAGCAGAAAAACAAATTACCTGTAAAGGAAAAGAAAAACCACAGAGCATGGCTTGTTTATCTACAATCCTAGACGCTAAAGGCAGGAACAGCATCACAGACCTGAAAGGGAGAACCACAAATCAAGAACTTTCTATCAGCCAAGATGGGCATACCAGGATGAAAGGGAAACACCTGAGGACAGAAGGGAATCCAGACAGTGTCCCAATCAATCAAGTTCCATGGGTGAGGCAACTGGCTAAGAAAAGCCTTTGACCAAGTAACAACCTAGAGCAGAGGTCTCCAACAGGAAAGATAAAGACAAAAGAAATGAGCAACCAATGTATTTCGCAATAGATCTCTGCATACTGGTAAAAAAATATGCTATGGCAATTCTGCTGTAACATTAAAGGTGGGCTGGGTGGCCGGCCATACAAGCACCAATACGATTTTGAAACAGCAGGAGCAACTTTAAGGGAAAGTGTGACACAAAAGAAATAATTTAGTTTAGTCTTGTAGCTGGGGGCCGAGAGAGGAAGTCCCCCGCAAAAGTTTCAAAGGTCTCCCTGCAAGGGAGAAGAGAAAGGACTCCTCATGACTCGCAAGTGGCAGTTGGGGACAAGCAGTGTCTGGGGTGATAAAGACAGTGTCTTAGCAGAGGAAATAGTTGATATCCTGTTTGAAGGTAATAGTAGTGTTTGTTGAATCATTAAAGCAACTCAATGGAAAAAAAGACAATAAAGTAAAATCTCAGAACTTCAAGCAGGACATTAAGAAGTGATTAGCTAGTAAATGGATCAGACCAGCAAAAATGTAAAAAGTCAACACTAAGGAGCTGTGCAGAGATGAAAAAAGGAGAGACATGGAGGGGATCTACCATGTCACTTCTGGGATGCTTTCACTTAAAGAAACTTTCAGAGTGGGACAGAAAGGATCAAAATGGGAGGTAAAGCTGGGAGTCTGTAATACTGACAGTTGGGAGGCCAAGACTGAAGGATTGTCACAAGTTCAAGGCCAGCCTGGCCTCTGCAGTAAGTTCAGGCCCATGTGGGTTACAGAGTGAGACCCTGTCTTAAAAGACCCAAAAGAGGAAACAGTACCAACAAAGCCAGCTGTGTGCCTGTAAGAGTACTTGAACCTGAAAATATTAACGAGACGGTGACATTTTAGCTGAAGCTAATTAGTCAAGATAGTGTTCAAGTAACAACACAATTACATGATCTGCAGTGAAGTTGTGCCTTGTCTATATGCAAAACCACATAGAACCTGAACAATGAGCCACTGAAGAAAATGCAGAACTTAATAAAAAGCCGTGACACAGGAAGGCTTCAGGAGAGCTTTCAGAACAGAGCGGAGAGTAACACTGCAAGTAACAGACACAGGACAGTTCTTGACTAGAAAACAGAAGTACCTATAGTCAATGGAACATTTACAAAAACGGATGGAGATATTGGTTACAAACAAAACCGAGATTTTAGGATGCAAACGTTTTGAATTATGATATATGGATTAGAAATAATAAAATGTAACTCACTTGACTCTTAGCTTTTTTCAGTCAAAATATTTTCAGATATTCAACATTACAAAAAGCCCACACTGTTGTTCATGTGCAATGATAAAAACAAACCGATAAACAATAGCAAGCAACCAAGACGTCCCTAAGAGACGGTCTAAGTCAGCCATGGAAAGGGCCTTGCTATTACCAGTACTATTAATCAGAGACTCTTCCTTACCTTAATTTCTGCAGTAGATGCCATGGCCCACGCTATGGTTGACCGCAGCCCAGCTGTCTGGATGTAAGTTCTGCTGGCTAAAGGAACTCTACAAAGAAAAGAAACTGATTAGGTACTAAATATATATGTCAAAGAATGGGCTATAAAAATGATTATGTCAATATCTGAGAAACATTTTCTAAAATTTTTATTTTTATGTGTATGAGTGTTTTGCCTACATTTATGTGTGTACCATGTGCATGCAATGCCCTCAGGTGACCAGGAGAGAGTATTGAATCCCCTGGAATTGGAGTTAGAGGTGAGTTACAGTCACCATATGGGTGCTAGGAATTGAACTGGGTCCTCTGGAAGAGCAGCCAGTGCTCTTAACCACTGAGCCATCTCTCCAGCTTCCTGAGAAGTATTTTAACACACTCATCTGACGTATTTTCTAAATTGCAGCATACATGAACACTATGAAACACCTTCTGTATTGTACATTTTGACTAATCAACTAGTGTGGTATTTCATTCTTAATCACTGCACATGTCACCTCTACCCTACCCCTCACCCTAGCTACTAATAGTGGTTCTAGATTTGACAGATTTCAAAATATGTTGAGATATCTATTGTCAAAGTATGATACTTTTGTGTTTATGTGTGAGAGGGAGCAGATGTGTGTGTGCACAAGTGTGAGTGTGTGGAGGCCAGTGGCCAACCTTGGGTTTTGTTCCTCAGGAACAATCTATCTTGTTTTTGAGCCTGGGTCTCCCACTGGAACCTGGGGTTTGCTGATTAGGTGAGGCTTGCTGGCCAGTGAGCCTCAGGGATCCACCTGTCCCCACTTCCCCAATGCTGGGATTCTAAGTACATTACCACGCCTGGCTTTTTCTGTGGCTTCTGAGGATCAAACTCAAGTTCTCATGTTTGCTCAGCAAGCAAGCACTTTACTGCCTGCCTCCTCCCCAGCTCCCGGTTCTACCTTTCTAATGCACCGAGCAAGTAACAGCTTGGAAATTTCCATGTGCTTTGTAGCTCACTTCTATAATTTCTGAGCCCTGTGCAAAGACGTGCAAGTAATTCCAGGCATATAAGTTTATTAAACATTGATTTCTTTTTTCGTTTTAATTCTCATCTTTCTCTGACTTTATTCTGTGTTTGTATTCACTGCAAGCTTCTTAAGCTCTTACTCAGAAGATGTATTGTTTTCCAATGAGACAGCATAGCCATGTTATTGTTCAAATAGGGAGCTTTTGCACGGCAGATCCATGGCAGTTTGAGTGGGATATTGCCATCACAGACCTGACCGTGGTGTTTTTGGGAGGACCGCAGAAGTGTTTGGAACTTTGGGCTGGAAAAGCCATTGCGTGCTCAGAGTTTGTTGCTGTGGAGCTTGGAACAGTTATGCTGAAAGAGTTGTAGACGATGGAGGCCTGGCTTGTGAAGCTTCAAAGGGAAGCAGAGACT